GTCAGCCATTCAATGATAGCGTTATATCTCGAAAATAATCAAGAACTACAAAAGCGACCGGAACTGTCGAATGCGTCTATCGGTCATAAAATCAATGGCTTTAAAAATAAATAGAATGACTCGTCGAAACCATCGATGATGCCGTCTGATATTTCAACTTCGTTATCTTAATTTGTCGGAGTTTTTATTGCATACTGAAATATCGTCTTGCAATCTTTATGGTATTCTTGGTGTGCAAGTTACGTCATCACCGCCATGTTGGATGAAAATCACAAATCATTCCTTATTAGTTTCTCTTGTTCATTCATCCAACATGGCGGCGATAGCTTTGTTCATTATTTCTCAGGGGATCCCTGGTCATGTGGTTGCACACCAAGAATAGCATCTTCTATCTTCTAAGCTATACTAGATCTCCGCCATCACAGAACTGTAGCCTGACGAGCAGGTAGTCCTGACCATTTCTAAACAAGTAGCTAGTCAAAGTTATTAGGTGGAAATTCTAAAGATACATCAGTGTAACGGCATATGCCTATAGTAGTTTTTAAACGTATTGTGTTATTCATATTCATAACTTCCTTTTAAGTCACTGACGCATATATCACAGCTTGCAGTCACACGTGACATCACCTTTTATACCGTCAACTACATTTTGTAAGTTCATAAGCTCGTAGAAGAAATTTGACGGGTTTCAACATTGCTACAAAACTAGAAGCTAAACACAGCCTTTGCCTGACGTTTACGCAATAAACAGGCCTTGTGGAATTCGTGAGTCCCTTCACTTAAGTTTTCACGGATCTTTCCTACCCCATTGAGCTGATGCCGCAGTCAGTCGAATTTCTGCGCAAGTTGAATCTGTAACCAGACCAATTTCCTTAAAAGACGACTCCCGGGATTTTAACCACGCTGAACTGACAATGGGTATAGCGAGACTGAAAGAAAACTTCTTCTGTATTTTTGGAAATGTTGAAATCCTGCAAATCGAGCCGATCTCAAAGGTCATCTCAATCGTCCAAAGAGACACTTATAAACGTCAAGCGTCTTGTTTTTTTTTTAAGAAAAACAGGCTATGCTTTAAATGCGCTGAACAAGATAAACATATTCCTCAGCAGTGCGTCGAAATCTGCAATAAAAAGCACCCTCATAGCTCTTCATGATGAAGACAAAGGCAACGAAGTCCAAAACGCAACCTCATATATCCTGTACCCAAGTATGCACCGAAGAGGAAACCCGCMGGTCGTGTGCTAGAATCGTTTCTATAAAGTTTCGCATAAAGTTACAGGACTGGTCTACATGTGCAAGATACAGACAATAAACATCATCMAATCAWKATAACYTTTGCGTACACTCGGGAATACATTTCCGCAACGCAGGAAGAAMTAAGAACGAAGTCACCTTCACATGCGACATAAAACAAATGTTTCATAGCTTCTAKGTCTCTTCCCAACAMAAAGACTTTCTTAGKTTTTTTTGGMTCCAGGACAACRATATCAACAACCCTGTAATAGMATATTGGATGAACGTTCGCCTTTTCGGTGATCATCACCTCATCACCTTGCGTTGCAAACACCAAACCGCAGAAGCCGTTGCCTTCACCAAACCGCAG